CCCCCCCACCTGCCGCACCTCCACTTCTCCCCAGGGCCTTCTGCACCCCACCTGCCACTCCCCGGCCTCGCCCGTGCGCCCCCGCACCCGTGTCCCTCCACACAGGCAGGTACTCGTCCTGCTGCACGTCCAGCAGCACCTCCAGCCCGTTGCCCATGCCGCCCTTGGGAGTGGTGAGCAGCTCTGCCCCTTCGGCGCCAGAGTTAAAGGTGTAGCACTGCCCCATGCGTGTGAAGACCTGGGACAGGGCAGACAGATGGCAGACCTCGCCAGGGAGCCAGGAGCTCAGGCAGCCCTTTCCCCTGGGCCAGTGCGAGGACCGTGGGACCCCTCCCTCCCCACCCTCTATCTGGATCTCTTCTTTGAACACTGAAGCCCACATCTTAACGCCCCGAGACCCTCCCTCAACCGGCACACGTAGCTGGACCCTCGCTGCACTGTGACCAGCTAACCCTGCCCCTTTCCCACAGGAAAGGACAGGCTTGGACCCTCCAGTTCCTCGCTCCCACCTCCACCCCCAGCCCAGCCTGCAGGGCAAGTGTTTCTTTGGAGACTGGCGTGAGGAAGAGGGGCCCAGCTGCCCCCCTTCAGGTCTGGCAGCATGTGGAAGAGGCAGCGGGGAAACCAGCCCCCTCCCCCTGGCAGAGAGGAGGGTCTCCTGCCCTAGAACACCAGATCCCCCCCACCCACCAGGAGCAGGCTCTCCACAGACCAGACCTTGGGCCCAGAGCCAGCCTGGGTGAGTGCCCCTGGCTGGGAGGCGTGACCTTGCACGCTGCAGTCCAGCTGAGCAGCAGGGAGGGGCCCGAGGAGGACAGCTTCCTGGCTGAACAGAAAGGCACTGGTGGGGTGGGAAAGGAAAGGATCCCCCAGCACGGCTGTTAAGGTTCCCTGGCTCTGGGGGAGTGTGGGCCGGCAAGGCCCGGCAGGGACCGCCTGGCGCTCCCAGGCCCCTGGCTGGACGGATCGGGCGGCCGGCTCACCGTGGTGAAGTTCTCGGGCCCGCACGCCCAGCCTCGGTAGCGGCAGGCCAGCAGCATGTCCTCGAGGGCGTGCCCGGCCCGGGCGTAGAGCCGGGCCACGTCGAAGGTGGGGCTGGGCATGAAGCCGGGCGGCGCGGGGGGCCGGCCCAGGGCACGCAGGTAGGCAGCATGCTCGGCGGGCTCCAGGCCCAGCAGCGCGGGCCCGGCCCAGTGCAGGTCGTTGGGCGTGAGGCGAGAGCGGCGCAGCGGGTTGATGTTGCACAGGGTGACGGCCGGGAAGGTGAGCCGGCGGCTCTCACGCTCCTCCAGGGCCGTCTCGTGGTGGAACTCCCCGTAGTAGCGCACCCTCCCAGCCACCTGGTAGAGGAGGGTGGCCAGTGCCAGGAGCACGGCTGTGCTCCACAGCCCCCGGCGCGCCATCGGGCCCCCCGGGCCGAAGACGTGGCCCAGGCCGTGCATCGAGCAGCTGCTGGCAAACATGCGGATGTCTGAGGCCGGCGGCTGGGCCTCCTCCGGCCCTGAGGGGCGCTTCATGGCCGGAGCCCGGGGCGCGGGGGGAACCAGGCTACAGAGGCTTAGGAGGAGGAGAGAGGGTCGGTCTGAGGACTGGAGGGGCTGAGAGGGGGGTTCAGAGGGTCAGGCAGGGGTCACGCGGTGTTGGGCCAGGAGAGGAGAGGGTGGGGAGGTACTGGCCTGGCCGGTCCAGCTCTGCCTCCTCCAGGACCTGGCTGTGGCTCTGCTGGGCGCGGTGCTGGGCTGGGGGCTCCGAGGCGGAGACCGGGTAGGGTGCAGCCGGCGAGGCAAGCAGGGCGGCTCTGCTGGAGGCTGTTCTGCTGAGCCGGAGCTGCAGCAGAGGATTGGGTTTCAGCGGCGAGGGGGCAAGGGGGCTGGCAGAGCAGCCTGGGGGGCGGGGAGGTCCCTGGGGCCCCAGGCAGAGCCATTAGTGCAGCGTTGGGGGGGAGGCCTGGCTGTGGAGACCAGAGGCGCCAGCAGGAAACCACAGCAATCCCGGGTAGGCTTGAGGGGAGCCGAGAGAGAAATTGGGGCCGGGGGTGCTCTCGGGGCCCTCTAGGTCCCCTGCTGCAGCCCCTGTATGTCGGGCCTGAGGGCCAGTCGCTGACCCTTGGCCCCGTCCCCGTCCTCTGCCGCCGCCTCCCTTCCCCCTAACCTCACGCGGCATCATCCGCTCTTTCGCGGAGTGGAGTTGGCTCCTGACCAGGCTGGAAAGTGGTGGGAAGTTGGCATCAGCAGACTCTTCTTTCTGAGCCCCCAGCGTCCCGGCCTACTCTGGGTGCCAGGGTCTCCTCCGGCCCCACGTGCAGAGGTGGTCTGTCCCCAGTGACCCTCTCTCCCACCTCCCCACACTCAGGCCCTTGTGTCTGGGGGGCTGGCCTCTGCCACAATGATGGTGGGTTCACCTGTCGCCCTTCAAGTGTAACACGGGTGCCCGTGTGACCCACTCCCAGGTAATATGGATGCCCTATGATTTCACATCTTTTTTCACTTGACAACATATTCTGGAGACCATGTGGTATCCAGTACCTGGAAAACGTCCTCATTTTTTAAATGGCTGCATAGCATTTCATTTATGTGGATGTAGCATCATTTATATAACCACACCCCTGTTGATGGACACTGGGGGTTTCCGGTCTTCCATTACAAACAGTGGTGCTCTCAGTAACATCGCACAGACATAAACTCCTAGAAATAGAACTGCTGGGCCAAGAAGAGGCGACTGCGTGGGTAACTCGATAGCACAAAATTCCCCACCGTAGGCGTTATCATACCGCTGCGCGCTCCCATCAGTAACATGGAGTGTGCCTGTTTTGCACGGGGGCTTTTCTAAAGGAGGAGAGACGCTGCCCCCAAACCGGCTGGAGTGCCCTGGCCCACAGTGCCTAGCACAGCATGTCGACACTGACCTTGAGGGGGCGGAGCCGGGGCATTTGACTGAGATGCCGAGGAGACGCTGGGTCGGGCTGGGGCGGACTCCCAGAGGCTAGAGAGGACATCTCCAAAAGGCAGAGCTGCAGTCTGCAAGGCCTCAAGCGAGACTCGGGGGTCTTGCTAATCCAAGGTACAAGGGACGGGAGGCAGCTGCTGAGCGCTGCAGCTGTCGCAGAGGACTGTCAGGGCTGCTCCTCGCTGGCGTCAAGCCCTGCGTTTGGTTAAACGCTCACCTGCCCCCGTGGAGCTGGGAGTTGCACTGCAGGCCTGAGAGAAAGCAGATTTATCTCCACTTACTTATTTACTGCATTTATTTCTACTCCGTGCCCCTCCACAAAGCATTAGAGGCGAGGGTCCACGGGCTCTCGGCAGTGAGTGGAACGTAGTTCGCCAACTGAACATGATCACGTCACACTGTGATCGCCTGGCCTCCTGTCCGTCCCCCTGATGAGGCCGCCGCAGGTCTCAAGGGGGCAGGGATGTCCTCACCGCCCCCACCCCGGCAGACAGGGCGGCACACAGCAGGTGCTTAATGAATACACACCTTGAAGGAGTGAATGACATGGTTTATTGCACAGATGTAACCAGCTTCTGAGGCTAAGTACTTTACCACAGGTTATTCTAATTAAACTCTTACAAGAAGCTCGCGAAATTAAGTGCAGCAAGGTTTACGACCTGCGTGGAATAGCTGCAGGAGCCAAGGCTGAGGTTAAGGCTACACAGCAAGTGTGCAGCTGACCGCAGGGCCTTCCAGCTCAGGGCTCGCCACGGATCTCACCACTTCCCTAAAGAGGGGATGCCGGGGGGCGGGGGCAGGATTTGGAGAGGCCACCCTGCAGAGGTAAGGAGAAACCTAGAATCTGGTGTCAGAAGACGTCTGGGTGGCTGGAGGCCGCGGCTGGTGCTGGTAGAGCACGAGCTGGCCTCGGCCGGGAGGGGCCCGGCAGGCCAGTGTGGACTCGGCCGGGGAGTTGAGGCCTGCCCTTGGCTGCCCTCACTAGGGAGGCGTTTAGTGGCAAAGCCACCGGGAGCTAGCCCGTGCTCTGCTTCCCGGGCCGAGGCTGCCCTGGGGTGCGACCTCTCATCATTAAGAAAGCAGCGCATGAAACCAGGGCGGCTTTGGCCCTGGGATACTTCCCTAAAGTAGCACCTGGTCCTAAACCACACCCAGAAGAGGCTGTGGGCACTCTCACCCTGGCTCCTGCACTCACACCTGAGCCGCTGCAGCCTCCTCCAGGCTGGCCTCCAGCCACAGCTGCCCTGCTGGTCCTGCCCCTGCTGCCAAACCCTGAAACATGGCATCGTCCTTCTGTGCCACGGGATAAATCCAAAAGGTCTGGCTGGCCTTGAAGGTCCAGCATGGGCGGGCCCTCTTCCTCAAGCCAGGGCACAGGACTCATGATGGAGTCCTCAGCCCAGACGTGGCTGTGAAGGGGGAAGGTTTCCTGGTGGGACGTGACACGAGCAGAACCAAGGCAGGAGGGGTGCCCGGTTCTAGGAGCTGACCAGGGCTGGGGGCAAACCCTGGCTGCTCTTAGGTCCCCAGAAGCGGACAAGAGTCCAGCCCCACCCCATTCACAGCTTCGGGGTCACAGGCCTTGTGCCACCCGGGCAGCTGGCCTATCCTCTTTCAAAGTGAGGCTCTGGTCCCACCTGCTCCAGGGAACCTGCCTGACCACGCCAGGGAGGCCTGTCTGGCAGTGACCACTCCTTGCCGGATGGATTTTGTATTCTGTCAGCCCAAGGGGCTTAGCATCAGCCGCTCCTCAGTGCTGTGGTGACTGTTAGCACTGGATGTCCCCCGTGGCTGGAGTTTGGGGTGCATGTCCTCTTCTGTCCCTTTCAGAGGTTAAGTGTCCTCACATAGAGGGTGGCGGTCCACAATCTCACCGGGTGACGGGCTCGAGGCGCACGGGGTCGGGGCAGAACCTCTTGTGGATCAGACCACAGCTGCCTGCCCCTCCTCACCCTCCCCAAGAGCCAGAAGGCCTGTTAGGCCCCCGTCCCGTTTAGATGGGGGGAGGGCAAAATCTAGAGAGAGGACTGTGTAAAGGCACAAGGAAAAGGAAGGGAAGTTGTTCCCAAGATGTGGGCTGAGGGTTTGAAGGGCTGGCTCAGTGGGTGGGCGCCTTCTCGCAGGGCCCTGAGAGGCCTGTCAGGATTCTGCGGAGGAGGCCGAGGTCCTGGTACGGGTGTGGGATGAATCCTGGGGTGAGTCTCTACTCCCACCCCCGGTGCTGACTTGTGAAAATTCCCTGCAGCTGCGGCCTGCACACCTTTAGCCTGTCGGGTACAGGGGGAGGCTCGGCAGGGCTGGGAGAGGGGTCAGGGAGGGCTTGGCAAAGGGAGGGGACAGACCAGGGGCCCGCCGTGCAGCCAAGGGAGGAGGAGTGCGCCCAACCTCCCCCAGCCTTGCGCCTGGCCAGGGTTTCGCTGCGAGCGGGGGAGTGATGGCAGTAGCCCCCACCCCAGCATGCTGGCCCTCCTGGGGACTCGGTGCCCGGGATACCCCCCGAGCTGAGCCCTGGCCCTGGGCCCGGATGCACGGCGGTGACCAGACCTCTCAGGACTTGGGGTGCTGCTTCCCAGGGCCCCTGGGCGTCTCAGGAGGCGGGGCATCTAGGGCCTGTCTCCGGATGAGCTCCGAATAGAGCTTGCCCTTCTTTAGGAGCTCCTCATGGGTCCCCACCTGGAGAGAGGAAGGAGGGGCAGACGGTCACCCCAACCCAGCTCAGAGTTCAGAGCCCTTGGAGGGCCAGCTTCTTATGAGCCGTTGGGCATGGCTTCACCTAAGCCAGCGTCAGTCCTGAGGGGAGTACGAAACCAAAGCACAGCTGATTACGGATTGCCACTGGCTCGTCTGTATTTGTCAGCTGAGCTAGATCATGCAAGAGCATCTGGGTCCCCCTGTCCTTCTTACAGGGCCCAGTGCCCCTCACCCAGCGCGAGTGGCCAGGGGGCTGTGAGCCGGGCCCCATTCAGCCCCTGAGCCCTGCTGCAGACCCAGCCTCTGGGCTGCTCCTGCCTGGGCCGTGTTCAGGGTCCCTGGTGCGGCCTCTTCTGTGCCTCAGCCCCTGGGCCCCTACTCCAGCAACGAACGCTTCTCTGAGAACTTTCCCCTTTGATCCTGGGAGCCACGCTGCAGCTCTCCTCACTGCCCCGCCCCAGGGGACAGAGGAAGAAGCTGGGGCCCCAAGAGGCCAGGGCTTATCAAAGGGCAGGAACTCCTGAAACCACATGGGTGCTGCTTTCAGACTATGAGCCCAGGGCCCCAGGGCCAGGCCAGACCCTCACACAGCTCAGCTGAGCCGCCCGTTCCACTGTGTCCGTGGCTGAAGCCGTGCCAGCTCCCTGACCTGCTCCCCGGGCCCCAGCTGACCTCGCAGACCCGGCCGTGGGCCATGACGACGATCTGGTGGGCCCCACGCACGGTGCTGAGCCGGTGGGCGATGACCAGCACGGTGCGGCCAGCGCTGGCGCGGTCCAGGGCCTCCTGCACCAGCCTCTCAGACTCCGAGTCCAGTGCACTGGTCGCCTCATCCAAGATCAGCACTAAGGGCTGCTTGACGAGGGCTCGGGCAATGGCCAGGCGCTGCTTCTGGCCACCAGACAGGGCTGCGCCCCGCTCGCCTGGGGAGGAAGGGGATAGGGCGGGGGCCTGAAGTGGCGCTCAGCTCTGCACTCGGGGGCGGCCCTGCAGATGGTCACCGGGGCCGTCTGGCACTTCCCATCTGGCCCCTCAGGGCCCTGCCCTGGCCCTGTGCGCATTCGTCCTGCCTCTCTGAGGGCAGGGGTGATGTCTGGCGGCAACACGATCCCACATCCCCGTGCAAACGTGCACAGGCGCTCACACGATGACGGGTCGTGAACGCAGCGGGGCTCAGTGATGCCCAGAGGTGTTGCTGAGCTCCACCCACACACCAGGGCAGGGGCTCGGAGCCATGACGGGCCTGGGTCCCACCCCCTGCCCTGGCCCTGAAGTGCTAGCCGCCTTCTCCTGGCCTAATGGCTCTCTGCTGCTGTGGGGACATCCAGGATCCAGATGTGAGTCCTGCGGTAGGGTAGAGGGTGGCAGAACAGTGGGATTCAAAACCCACCTGGGAATTCTGGGAAGACCATATTGGGGTCCAAGATGCCCACAGAGAACAGCAGAGGTGGCAGCCTGGCTGCCAAAGAGAGCCTTAGGTGACTCCGCAGTCACAGAGCAGGGGGGCAGGCTGCAGCCCCGGGCAGCCCGCGAGTGCACGGAGACAGGGGTACAAGGCGTGTGTGCGAGAGAGGAGTGGGCCCAGCTCCTCCCATCAGGGCGGGGTCTGCAGGAATCTGAGCAGTGAGTAACACGGGACACGAAGGACGGCTACCCACAGAGGGGGCGCCACTCGGAAGGCTAAGCTCGGCCAGGCTCAGGACTAGGTTTTGAGAAGAGTTGAGAACCTTGGATATGCCTGTGCCGTGAGATGTGCTGGAACATTTTGCAACAGAGCCAAGAGACTCTGGATGATAAACATGAGCCCAAAGGCTGAAAAAAAACACCTCTGAGATGAACACACGAAGTGCAAGCCGCACTATGAAGACTCCAGTGTGATGCTACAACGTTCCAGAACCACCAAAGCCCTCTTCTGGGTAAGTCAGCAGACAGACTGGCTCAACCAAATCCATCCCTATGGATAGCCAGGGGGAGCACCTTTTGTTGAAGGATAAAAAGCTACAGAAGGATAAACAATTACAAGGAGGTAACACCCCCTTGCTTCTGGTCAGGTCTTGGGAGCTGACGTGGCGAGCTCTGAAGAGTCCCCATGTCACGGATCACTTGTGCCCCTGCCCTCCGTCACGCTCCTGTCCCCGCAGCCTGCTTGTGCCTGAACTGCATGGGCCTCGTCTCCCCTGTCCCCACGGAGTCGCCTCTGTCCCACTCGGCCATGGTTGTTGTCTGGTCTTCCCCGATGCTGTGACTGTGTTCCTGCCCCCTGATCCCAGCCTCGCACGTGGGCCCTGCGGACCCCAGCAGGATGCTGTCTCTGAACTCACCCACGACGGTGTTGTATCCCTCGGGGAAGCTGGTGATGAACTCATGTGCATTGGCTTCCCGGGCAGCTGCGTAAACCTCTTCGTCGGAGGCGTCCAGCTTCCCGAAACGGATGTTCTCCATGATTGTTGTTCCGAACAGGACTGGCTCCTGGGGGTGGGAGGTAGAGGGTCCACCGGAAACATTCTGATTTTGCCCTGAACCTCTGAGGGGCACATCAGGAGAAGCTCTTTCGGCCAGAACAGGACCACTTGGAGGGCAGGTAGGGGCAGTTCAAAGTTACAGGTCAAACACAGAGAGGTCCATCAAAGTGGGGAGAAGCCGAGCTCCTGCATGGCACGGGGCCCCTCGGGAAAGGGAGCGGGAAGGCGGCTGGGAGAGCAAGGCCAGCTGGCCCGGCAGGGTCCCCCCTTTCTGGGGAGATGGGCAGGGAAGGGTTTTACAATTTGGCTTTCTCCTGCCAAAAGGGCGCCCTCTATCCATACATGGGGGGGTGGGGGGAGGTGGACCCTCGCTGGGAAAGCAATGGGGCTGAGAGCTTCAGAGCGGGGCTGCGGGGCCTTGCTTGGTGGGTGAGTCACCCAGCAACACTGTGTGGGTGTCCAGACCTTCAGGACACCACAGAACCCAGGGATCCTAAAACGGCCACCCCATTTCCACCTGCTCGGACCTTTTACGTCGAGGAACAGAGTTCTAAGGGCAGAGCTGCAGTCGCTGGGACCCCAGTGAACGCTGGGGACTGGTGAAGAGAGCCAGCTCGCCCCCAGGGCCCCCAGGAGGGCAGCAGGTGATGGGGCTGGGAAGGGGGAGGGGCCCAGGCTGCAGGGACTGAGAGGAGCAGGCACCTGGCTGATGAAGCCGATGACCTGACCCCGGAGCCAGGAGGGGTCGAGGGTGCGCAGGTCCTGCCCATCCAGCGTCACCACGCCCGCCGTGGGGTCGTAGAGGCGCTCAAGCAGGGAAGCCACGGTGGTTTTTCCTGGGGGTTCGGGAGGGGGCATGGGTTTCTGGAGCGTGTCCGGGAGAGGGACGCCCCCGGTGGCAGTGGAGGGGCCCCTCCTTCCACACTGAGGGGCTCCCACAGAGAGAAGTCACAGGTGGGAGGGTGGTGGGCTCCTCTTACCTCCCCCGGACTGGCCCACCAGGGCCACAATCTTGCCCGGGGGCAGCGTGAGGGTGAAGTCTCTGAGCACCTGGGAGCCAGGACGGCAGGGGTAACTGGGAGGAACCAAGAGACCCTCGGTCAGACCAGGTTCCCGGCCCCTTGTTGCCCGGGTCCCTCCCAAAGTCTCCCTGCACCCCCAAGGGGGCTTACTTAGAGGGAGACATTGACCCACAGGTCCCCAGACAGGCTCCCTCTCCTGCCCTCAACCCAGAGAGAAATACCCCTGTGCCCACCACTGATGCTGACCTGAAGGAGACGTTGTCAAAGGTGATGGAGCCGCGCAGGTGCTCCCTGGGGATGCAGTGGCCCCCGGACAGCGGGATGCACGGGCTCAGGGTCATGTACTCGAAGACCCGGGTGCCTGCACTGAGCCCCCGCACCACCTGGGGAGGGGGGGTTAAAGTCTGCGTGACGGAGGCATGGGGTCCCAGGGAATGGGCAGCACCTCCTGGACTCCCACTTGGCGGCAGGGGAGGGGCTTGTCGTTATCCCCTCCGCCCGACACCCAATTCCCACGGCACACAAGTGACGTCAGTGGCTGATGGGACTCCAGCCCAGGTACCGCGTCCACATCCTTGGACCTACCCACCTCTGCCACTCACCTGACCGAACAGGACAGAGAGGTTGGCCATGGACCTGCGAGTAAAAGAGGAAGGTTGAAAGAGGGGGACGAGGAGGGCCCGAGAAGGCGGGCCGGCGCCAGAGGGGCAGGTCTGGGTCTCAGCTGCGTGGGGGACGTGTTGGGTGAGGCGAGGAACAGGTGGCCGGAAGCCAAACGCAGAGGTAGTTCCCGGAACCTGGGGCCCTAGGAACCCCGGGAGCCGGCACCACTGGGGAGGTCTCCCGGCAAGTAACGTCTCCTTTCAGAGCCACACTCCCTCCTGGCCCGGATGCAGCTGACAGTCATCAGCTACCTGAGGGCCGCGCTCCAGGGAGGAAACAGGGAAGGGAGGCGCAGGGCGCAGTGGGGCCGGGCTCCACGCTGCCCGCAGCCTGCAGGGAGGGGCTGTGAGGCCCACCAAGGGGGTCACATCTAGCGCTGTCCACTCCCGGGGGAAGCAAGGGCTAAGGAAGGTGGAAAAAAGCATGTTACTCCTTCTGGAGAAAGAAGGAAACAGAAGACATTGGACCACAACGGTAACTCAAAATTCCCTGAAAACATGTCATCACGGGCTCCGCCCTGTGTGAGCAGAGGGGCAAGTGTCCATCTGTCCAGACAGTGGGTCACCTCCTCATCGTCGTGCGGGACTGCCGGCTGCTAGGAGGAAGGTGAGTCACTACTCCTGAGTCACCAGCCCCTGGCTTAGTCACGGGCCAGGCCAGCCCGTGACTGTGTGTCTCCGATTGCGCATGCGGGTTCTTCTCGAAGAGAAGAGACAAGACTGACTCTCCAGGATCTCACTTCTCCCAGCACTGGGGGTGGGGGAGGGGGGAGGAGCCTGCAAGGAAACGGCCTGGAGAACTTCCGACAAGAGCCAGGACAGCAAGTTAGTCTGCACGTGAGGCCTGTGGCTGGGGAAGCCGCCCCACCTAGCACCTAGCAGCCTGCGAGAGAGGCTTTCTGAAGTCTGTGACACAGCTCTGCCAACTGGCTAGGCAGTGCAGCGGGGAGGAAAGGAAAGGGTATGGACGCAGGCCATAAAGGGGAGGGGGCCCAGGGCAAGGCGAGTCTGAGGGAGTGGGGCCAGGCCTGGGATGGGTGGCTGCCGTCCGCCGGGGGAGACTTTCTGCCCCTGCCCCGTGGAGCACGGGGGGGGGTGACCGTGAAGGGAGCTAGTGGTGCTCGTCCAGGTCAGCACTGGGGAGGGGCAGCAGGGGGTGGCCCAAGTTCCACCTCGGAACAGCCAGACACTCTTAGTCCCAAGGCCACCAGGGATCAGTTCCTGGGCCTGTGGGAAGGAGGGGTGAGGCTGCCCAGGACAAGAGAGGGTCTGCATGGGCCCAGATTAGGAAGCACTGAGCAGAAATGAGTGGCATCTGGTCTTTGTGGAATGCTGGGTCTGGGGCTGAGAAAGGGAGTCTTTTCTACCTGCCTGCCTCCAGCTTAGCTCCATTCTGCCCAGGACAATAATAATAAGGCCGATGGTGAGGGATTCTGGAAGAAACGGCTGACACTCACACAGGTGGTAAGACACGGGGCAGAGCCACGACACAAGGACCGTCGGCATCGGGAATAACGAGGAAGGGGCCCAGAGGGGGTCTGAGCTGATGTTCTCTCTCCTGGGCGTGGCTGGCGACACACGTCCTCACTCTTCAATTACTTATTCTACCGTATTTACTGTAATTGTTTATTTAACGAGTATTTCTTTCTTTTTCTCTTCTTTTTTTCTGCGGTACACGGGCCTCTCACTGCTGTGGCCTCTCCCGTTGCGGAGCACAGGCTCCGGATGCACAGGCTCAGTGGCCATGGCCCACGGGCCCAGCCGCTCCGCGGCATGTGGGATCTTCCCAGACTGGGGCACGAACCCATGTCCCCCGCATGGGCAGGCGGACTCTCAACCACTGCGCCACCAGGGAAGCCCCCCACTCTTTAATTATTTATTCTACGGTATTTACCGTAATTGTTTATCTAACGTGCATATGTTTTATGTGTTTTGGTACACGTGGTATATGGCGGGGAAACAGTGAGGAGAAACAGCAGAAGGAGCTGCTAGGAACTTAGATTGGAAGGGACAGGAGAGGGGAGGAGGCCCGCCCTGGGCACTCTTGTGGCAGAGCCAGCGGGGAGCTCTGGTGCCTGCGGGCAGACGGGGCTGGCAGAGCCGTGGACACAGTGAGACAGCAGGGTGGGACCTGCAGGGGAAGGTCAGGCAGAGGGTGGGAGTCAAGCTTTTAAAAGGCGTGTCAAAGATGGCCTATCCACACGTGGAGTCTTATTCAGCCTCAAAAAGGAAGGCAGTTCTGACACCTGCTCCAACATGGCTCAACCTGGGAGAGGTCATGCTCAGTGAAATACACCTGTCACACGGGGACAGATATCGTATGATCCCACCTAGATGAGGACCTAGAGCAGACAGATTCACAGAGACAGAAAGCAGAATGGGGGTTGCCTGGGGCCGCAGGAGTGGGAGGAGGGGGGGTTCTAGAGGTGCAGCATTAAAGTTTTGCAAAATGAAGACATTCTGAAGATGGATAGTGGTGATGACTGCACAATGATGTGAGTGTATATAACGCTACTAAACTGTGTACTTAGGGACTTCCCTGGTGGTCCAGTGGTTAAGATTCTGCACTTCCACTGCAGGGGGTGCAGGTTCGATCCCTGGTCAGGGAACTAAGATCCTGCATGCCGTGTGGCATGGCCAAAAAGAAAAAAACCCCACCTAAAACTGTGTACTTAAACACAGTTGAGATGGTAAATTCTGTTATGTGTATTTTACAGAAATTTTTTTTAAAAGGCTTGGGGGATTTCCCTCGTGGCACAGTGGTTAAGAATCCGCCTGCCGATGCAGGGGACACGGGTTCCAGCCCTGGTCCAGGAAGATCCCACATGCCACGGAGCAACTAAGCCTGTGCGCCACAACTACTAAGCCTGCGCTCTAGAGCCCACGTGCCACAACTACTGAAGCCTGTGTGCCTAGAGCCTGTGCTCCGCAACGAGAAGCCACCGCAATGAGAAGCCTGTGCACTGCAACTAAGAGTAGCTCCCACTCAGCAACGAAAACCCAACGCGGCCACAAAAAAAAAGAAAAAAAGAAAAAGAAAAAGGCTTGGGACTTCCCCGGTAGTCCAGTGGTTAAGACTCCGTGCTTCCACTGCAGGGAGCACGGGTTCGATCCCTGGTCGGGGGACTAGGATCTCACATGTCACGCGGTGTGGCCAAAAAAAAAGAAAAAAGGACAAAAAAAAAGGCTCATTGAAGAATTGTCTGGAAGGTGAAGATGGCAACTGCGTTTCTGAGTGTACAGTCAGCGAGTCAGGCTGCAGGGGCTGCTGGGAGCCCCGAGCGGGCTCTGGACGAAGGCAGGGGCTCCCCATCCCCAGCCCTGAGCTTCGCCGGGGGAACTGGTAGCTGTCCCCGCAGCAGACTGGCACCCCTGGCCCCTGGCCCAGCTGGGCCCCTTAGGAAAGGGAACGGTACCACACTCACCTCTGCACTGTCTGGGAGGCCACCAGGAAGGACATGAGGTCTCCCCCCGTCAGCTGCTGTCCGGCCACGAGGGAGCCCCCAATAAACAGGGTGCCCAAGACCATGCCTGAGTGGGGCAAGGACAGGGGTTCAAGGAGGAAGCAGCGGAGGGCAGAGGACAGAGCCCGGCCCACCTGTTGGTCCCCAGTGCCAGTGCATGCTGTGCTCCCAACTGACTGGAATTTAGGTAAGTCACTTGAGTGGTCTCTGCCTCTGTCTCGTCATCTGGTAACGAGTGGGTTGGGGGCACCTCCACGGCTCCCTCAGGGGCGGCCCATCAGCGCGCTGTACACGGCTCGGCTGTGACACTGGGCCTCCCTGCCCACTGCCTGCCGGCTACAGCAGCCTCCAGAGGCCGGCTGACTGGCCCTCGAGAGACATGCGAAGGACCTCGAGCAGGTGGAGAGCTGCCCATCGCCCGCCCTGCTGGGACCCGTCCTTCACTCCTCCGAACTCAGCCCAAGCCACAGCCCAGGTCCCCCGGCGGGGCCTCGCTCACTCACAGTTGAAGGCGATACTGGAGAGCCCCTGGAACAAGGCAATGCCTCTGCCCAGCTCCTCTGCCTTAGAGCGGGACGCCCCCAGCTCTGCTCCATAGCGTCTGTGACAGAAGCCGAGCCCAGCCCTCAGGAAGCAGGCAGGCTGGGACGCGGGGCAGGGGGAGGCGCATCTGGGGAGGCCGCCCCCCCACCCCACCGCTTTGGGCTCCACCCCCGCCCGGCACTCACTCCTCTTCCCGCTGCTCCATGGCGAAGGCTCGCACGGTCCTGACGTTGCCCAGGGCCTCATCTGCCACAGCCGTTGCCCTGGCGACCTGCGGGGAGTCCAGGAGCCAGGGAGCCAGGATGGAGACAGGGAGGGGTGACAGAGGAGTACAGGGCAGAGAGGAGGACGGGCGGGAATGCTGGTACCTGCTCCTGACACTGGCGAGACAATTTTCTGAGAGCTGAGCCCATCAGGGTGCCAGCGCCCATCAGGGCAGGCGTGGCCACCATCAGCAGCAGGGTGAGGCGCGTGGAGAGCATGGACAGGGACACCAGGCAGCCGGCCACCTGCGTGAAGCTTCGCAGCCCCTGGGGAGCGGACAGGAGGGCTGTCTGGCATCAGCAACATGATGTGCGGAACTCAGCAGGAGTCAGCTGGCTACAGCTAGCTCTCCACTCACAAGGCCAAGGCCATAGGTCTGACCCCCAGGAGGCCAACTGACAGTCCACTGGTCACAGAGCGTAACCCCTTCCTGATGAGCAGGCGTGAAGAGAATGCCTGTGGACCGAGGCACCCTCCCCCGGGACAAATCCCACTTTCATTCCCTTCTGCTCTAGAAACTGAACAGAAAGAGTATCGCCTGGGGAATTCCCTGGCCGTCCAGTGGTCAGGACTTGGTGCTTTCACTGCGGGGCCAAAGTTCAATCCCTGGTCAGGGAACTAAGATCCCACAAGCTATGAGGCACGGCCAAAAAGTAAAAAAAGAGAGAACTGCCTGGTGATGCCGCCCAGGGACGGCTAGGGGTCAGTGACAACGTCGGCGGAAGAGGAGAGGACATCAGGGATAGAGCAGGAAGCCATCGCTCCCTCTCCTGTCAGCGTGCCAGGCATTCCGGGGGCAAGGTGGTGATTCTGCTCTGGGCAAGCTGGGCCAGGAAAGGCTCTTGTCTGAGCCTTCCTTCTTGGGAAGGTTTTTCCGGGGAGGCAGGATTTCAGAACGGGAGAGAAACAGCCTGTGCCGCCCCCGGACGCTGCCGTGGCGCCGCCTGCTGTGAGCGCCCCTCTTCCGTCACCCACACCCTCAGCAGACAGCAGGCTTCCCGCTTCGGCGAGCCTGGGCGCGGGCCCCGGGGCGGGGCGGGGCGGGGCGGGGGCGGGCAGGACTGGCCTGCTGCATCTGCACTAGGGAGCGTGCGCGTGTGAGTGAGCGTGGGGGGACCTGGGCGCTGACCTGGGAGATGACGAGTTTGAAGGATGATTTAAACTCCTGCACGTCAGTCGTCAATCGGCTTATCAGCTGCCCTGTCTTTTTAGCATCGAAGAAAGCAATGTCTTGTCTGGGGGCGGGACACGGGGGCGGCAGGTGGGGAAGAGGGAGACACGGCCTCAGGATGAGGCCCCGCCCCTA